CGCATTTCCAAACAAATGTCAAATTGATATTAAGTATTTCCCACCTTTTTTTTTTTTTGGTCTTAGTGTGTACCCCCTCAAACCCTCAATGACGCTCAAATACCCTTTTACCAAACCAGAATGTGAAGAAATTCATTTATTTGGCAAAAGTGGCCATTATCATTATCCTAATTTACTTTTAAAACAACAACAAAAACATTTAATAATGGGTGCAGAGATGTCATGCAACAAATGTTTTGGAGGAGCAACATTTGAAGTCTTGGGTCCCTTAGTGCATGACACTTCAAGGAACCATTCACACAGAACATGTTCTTGTGTTTAAAGGTCAATTCACACTGCATTGAAAGACAGCAACAGACACTTTTGTGTTAACCGTCGTTTGTTTTTGCCAATTGGACACCTTTGTGGAATGTCTGAGAAGTAACATACTATAATCTGGAGATTGTCCCCATTGTCAGTGCAGTGTTATCTGGCCTTAAAAACACAAGACAGTGGAATGAAAAAAGCAAGGTCTACAGAAGTGTCTTTTAAAAGTTTAAATGTTTAGTTCAATCATAAACTCTAGTTTGCACTGGCTGATAGGTCATTTAAATGCAATCAGCTATCAATCAAATACTACAGTGTTCTCAACCCTGTTCCAGAAGGCACATCAACACTAAACAGTTTCGAACACTTCCTAATCAAACACACCTAATTCAACTCATCACCTCATTAGTAGAGACTCCAATCACCCCCTATATCCTCATTCACTATATTCCCAATATACTCAACTAATATAGTCCACTTGAAGGAGTGAACGAAGTGAATTCAGACACTAAGTGCATTATTGGTATACACTAGCCATTGAGCTTGAACTCATTATTGTGGTGAATTGTGGGATTGAAGTGCACTCGTTGACATCCTCAATGGTTTCGTACACCACTACAAAATTTGTCCCCTCAAAAAATAAAATTTGAAGGGTCTAAGGCCCTGTTTACACGAGAACGCTCGCGGGTGAAAACGTAAAAAATATTTTATCGGATGTGCCTTTCGTTTATACGGCGACGGCGTTTTTGAGGCTTAAAAACGCAAAAAAGTGAAACCACCCTCCAGAGTGGAAATCTTAAAAACGCTCCACCGCCACGTTCCCGTGTAAACGGTAAAAACGCAAAGTCTGCTCATCAGTGAAGGTTGTACGCAGACGCATGGACTTGGTGTTGTTGTAGTATGCACTCCTAGCCGCCTGAAGTGCATACTACATTGAATTTCACACACTTTTTTCACAAAATGTGCACTGTTGGTGTAGGAAAAGGGTTGGAAAGACTGTTTCACTACATAGCACTGATTCACTTGCTTGCTCAACATTTAAATAGTCTGGTTAAGTATTCCCTGACACCTGCTATGGGACTTTTAAATGAACAGACCGTGCGCAGTGCTTGAAGTGGGCCAATACGCACTGGTACCGGAACATCTATATTTTAATCTGTAGCGTAAACTAATTTTTTACTTGGTGAACACCCTCACCCACCACTTCGAGCACTAAGCATGCAAGGGTTGTCTTGAGTTGTCAGTTCAGAGTTGTCAGTTCAAGATTGAAAACTGAACATACAATTATTATTATTTTATCAAACAAGAAAAATGGCAATTGATTGTTGCGGTTACTGATCAACATTCGTTTTCAGCATATGGAAAATAACTACTTCTGCATTTTCATTTTGATGGTGATTTTTGTCAATTTTAGACAAACTCTTCATCGTCCATAATAATCATTTTAATCATCAAAGATATGATTTTGCTTTCAAAATCAATTCAACTCAAACAACCGGGCTTGTGGGCACACGTTGCCTCCTTTGTGAAAGACTGTGTGAAAAACAGATGCATTATAATAAAGCCAACTCGATCTCACAGGAATTCGTACGAATTTTACGAGGTGGCTAATTCGTAACAATTTTTTTGTTTCGATTTTTTGGGGTTTTTTTTGTTTAGGGTTTAGACAAATTGTAAGAATTCGTACCAGTGAGGTCGTATGAATTAGTACGAATTATCCACTTTTTAATCACTCGTACGAATTTGTACGAATTGGTCGTGAGATAGGGTAGATAAAGCACCTTATCTTGTTTGTCTGTCACACGTTTTGACCATACTGGGGGACAATCGTGGATAAACTTTTTTTTATGAGAATAACCAAATGAGAAATTTATTTATAAAACAAACCAGAAGTTGCAATCTCTGTTTTATAGGTTAACAACTTTAAGTCCTTGCATCACGTGGATTTGCTTGTTTCATCTGGTTGCAATAATTAAAGGAGTAGTTCAATTTTGATAAAACGTTTGCTGATAATTTACTCACCCCCATGTCATCCAAGATGTCTATGTCTATCTTTCTTCAGTCGAAAAGAAATTAAGGTTTTTGGTGAAAACATTGATTTTTCTTCATATAATGCACTTGACTGGGAACCAAACGGTTCAAGGTCGAAAAGACACTTTCAGTGAAAACTGCACACAAAGGGCTTTAAACAATCCCAGACGATGAATAAGGGTCTTCTCAAGCGAAACGATCGCTCATTTAAAAAAATAAAAAATAAACAATGTTTAAGTTTTATAAGCTTAAATGGTCGCCTTGCTCGTTCATCAAAATGAACAAATCTTTTTCTGAATCAATTTGTTCGTTTCGTTCGTTGAATGAACCCAATGTCTTTTGGACATTGAACCGTTTGGTTCCCAGTGAAGTGCATTACATACATGGAGAAAAATGCTGAAATGTTTTCATCAAAAACCTTAATTTCTTTTCGACTGAAGAAAGAATGACATGGACATCTTGGATGACATGGGGGTGAGTAAATTATCAGTAAAAGTTTTTTTTTAATTATTTTTTTTAAAGTGAACTACTCCTTTAATGTTGACAGAAATGTGAAGACCATGTTTTTGTCAGGCCTGAATATGAACACTCAAGTATCATGCTGATCAGTTCAAAAATAGTAAAGTGATCTGTAGAGGTTAGTTTCTATTCTGCACCAATATCCCTAATGTTTGACATGGGTGACTAATCCATTTGCGTCACATCTTCTCTCCGTAGTTCAATAATACAAATCTATATGCAGTTTACAGCTTGTACTGACATTTCACGATAGTGTTGAACACGACCGGCTTTACACTATCTACAAACAAGCTACACATTGAATATACCAAGCCTCTAGTGCTATCAGTGTATTCAGCTTGCCAGTCGTTGTTGATCACATTGGTCTACACAGTGTGACGTCGCTTACTGAAAATAATTAAAGGACATTACCCTGCTTTCAACAATGGCGGGGCAATCTTTGCCCAATGCTAGTTCGGTTGCTCTCTGGGTGAATTCTGGGATCCCAAGGATAGGTGGGTACTCTGGGGTTAGAGTTGGGTCTGTGGCAATTTGCTGCTTAATTTTTCGTACAAGAGGAAGCCATGCGGTGTGTCCATGCTCTCCAACATACTCTGGTCATTGAGAGATACATTTGATTATAAACAGGCAAAGTTGTGAAGTAAGAAATATGTAGAAAAAGAGTTGTCCCTCTAAATGACCTATGAAATAATTTGAGAATGGAATGGTTTTTACAATAAAATAAAATGCTATTGCTCATGAAAAGTAATGTCTCATAAATATGTTTGCTGCATTTTCCTGCATATCTGAAATTTCAGGTGTACAATGATCTTAGGGATTGTTCACCTACAAAAGAAAATTCTGTCATCATTTACTAACCCTCAACCTGTATGAATTTCTTCCTGTCTTGAACACAGAAGATGTTATGAAGAATGTGGGTGACCATACAGTACTACTGAAGGTCATGAAGACATTTGAGATACTGGTGTTGGCCTTCCGGAAGGACATCACATGACCCTCGGTGGATTCTCTTCAGTTTTCCTACAGAATAAACAGGTCTGTGGTTGACGCAGTCAACATGGGACTGCATTAACGTTATATCCTGTAACATCTCGATAAACCTGGGACTTGCGCAAGGATCTTTTTTTGTGGACTTCAAGGGTTAGTTCACCCAAAAATGAAAATTCTCTCAGTATTTACTCACCCTCATGTTGTTCCAAACCTCTATGTGTTTATTTGTTCTGCTGAACACAAAGGAAGTTATTGAGATCTGTTTGATTAAAATATTCTTCCAAATATCTTCCTCTGTGTTCAGCAGAGGTTTGGATCAACATGAGGGTGAGTAAATACTGACAGAATTTTCATTTTTGGCTGAACTAACCCTTTCAGTTTGGCCTTTAATACCATCATCCCTGATCTTCTCACAGCCAAACTGACCCAGAGGATCATTGCAGACTAGGAGCTGAACAGCTGGCTGTCTGTTGTAGTCACAAAAACCTGGAGCTGAGCACACTCAAAACAATGAAAACATTCTTGAACTCATTCCCTTTCAGAGCAAATCAGCAACAATTCCATTTTGATTTTATAGGGTCTTTAATTTAACCATCATCATTATAGGTAGTAGTCCGTGTCCAGTTTGAGGCAGATCTAATAAAATTACTCACCCCTCCCAGCTAGATTCACTTTATCGGGGTGCGTGTCTCGCTTGAAATCCTCTGTAAGCTTCATCTCGGATGATATAAAAACTGCACCATCAAACACAGAACAAGTAGACATCTCGTGCTGGTGCATTACATTGTTTTCCCACTGTAAACACAAGTCATTCTCCAGACCTGTCAATGACAACCTGCAACAGTTTGTTTACTGTCTGTTGCTTAGATGTGTGACTGTTTCCAGGCAACGGCTCATTAACACTATAAACTCTGCCATGAGTATTGATGTCATACCCCCACCAAGCTAGTTCACCGATTACGGTCACTGCTAAGTAAACAAAACAATTGTTTGACAATTAACAACATTCAAAGGATAGATTAATCAGGTCACATAAACTGTGATGCATGGTATATACTTTAATTCTTGAGTCAGTTGTGTCTTTTTTTATTTGTCATTTGCATTTCTATATCTCATTCTACAGAGATGAGGGGAAAAATCAAATAAAATTGTGGTAATATTTACATTCATATTTTATTATTATACAAGACTGTTTTTCATTAGCATTAAAACACAAAGTTAATACAGTTTTTCCAACATTGAGCATCATGCTTTAGAAACAAACATTGATAGGGTGCACTGTCATCACACACGATCCATGGTTCAAACTGGCGAAATAAGCTCTTTTCACTGGCATTCAACCATCTTCATCCTCTTCTCCTTCAGTCATTTCAACAGGATTCACTGCAAAACAGTAGAAATTAATATTTAGCACCATTCAAAATTGAAGAGAATGCAACAGTGTTGGTTCCAGATGTATCCCCCCCCATTCATTTAAAAACTACTCATTTACAAATGTTGACTATGTATAAATCATTTATTTTAAGTTTATTGCACAATATGGCTTGCATGGAGAAATTTATGTATTCTGAGTGCAGACTCGATTACTTCACAGTGATTCATGGGAGTGGGTGGAGCTAAAGAGTTTTTTTTATTGGGGTTTCCTTTTCTTTACAGCATCATGGGTAATGTAGTTTTACATCATAAAAAAAAGCTGAAATAATGCAGGCTGATGCCTTCATCAGAAGCAAATACCATGGATTAACAACCTTTTAGCTCAGAGCAAGACGGTCTTTAATGGGACACCAGGCAGGAATCCCATTTATGTCAAACAGCGACCCCTAGAGTCGCTGTGGAGTACTTGTATTTAATGTTACTGTTGTAAATACCACTCACCAGGGGCGATTCTAGGATTTTCTGTTTAGGGGGGCTTAGCCCCCAATAAGTGTATGATTAAAAAAAAAACAAAAAAACAAAAAAAACAAAGTAAAAGTTTAATTTAGGGTCTAATGCTCACTTTCATTACCATTTGCAGGGTTTTATAATCACTATAGTCCTGAATTTGAGTTGTGTCTGTCAGGGGGGTTCGGGGTTTCCCCGAGAAAATTGTGAATTCTCTGAACTATTATGTCCATTTTAAGATGTTTTGAAGGCATTTTTTTTTTTTTTTTGGATAAAACCATGTCAGTGGGCAGCTGATTATTTTTCTGTCCTCATCAGCATCACACTCTTTTTTCTCTTACCCTGTCTCTTCCCCTCCTAAAGTTGAGCTTTGACTGATAATAGGCTTTTCATTTTTGTATAAAAAAGCACACTTGGGATAAAGTGCTTTCTGATTCCGATTCTGATGCCTATACAGGGCTGTGGACAGGGCTTTATAATCAAAGAGGTCCTACATTTGAGGTGGAGGTTTGGGGGTTAAATTTTTTAATCTCTGATTTGTGAATTTCAAGACGTTTGAAGACCAAAAAAACAACAACAAAATAAATAGCTTTAAAACTAGCCTATGTCAGTAGATTTGTCAATACCTGCTCTCTCCTCATCTCCCTTATCTCCTCATCGTGCCCTTTATCTCCCCCTCCTAAAGCTGAGCTTTTTTTTTTTTTACTAAAGGCTACAATTTGTATTATATTTTCAATATGTACACATTCATGATTAATCATGTACCTTACATGATGAAAACGGATTTGTTAACCTTTCTTGTCCCACAATGACAGTAAACGAATTATTACATTAAGCTGACGTTACATGCTTAATTTCAGTTCAAAAGCGTGAAATTAGATAAAACTATATTAGTTTTCCTGATTATTTTTTGTCATTCGTTTAACATATGACCTCAAAAAACGGTCAAATATATAAAGTTATAAGTTTAGCTACTTACATCTCGCACTTATCTCTCGCACTTGCCCGTGCACTGAAGTCGCAGACTGATCTCGTGAAGTAGCGTGTGTATGACACGCCAATTCGTATTTCCATTTTTGGCGTGCTATCAAGACGCATAATCGCCTTTCAGCGTGTTTATGAACGCCGTTGACTTAACGTTATATAAATATATGACTTACCTCAACCCCGTCCCTAAACCTAACCGTCACTGGGGTTAATGGCATTTATGACTGTTCCCTTACCATCCTAGGTAAAAAAAAAAAGATATGACTTACCTCAACCCCATCCCTAAACTTAACCATCACTGGGGTTAATGGCATTTATGACTGGAGATTTGACTGCGTGTTCAGACACGCGGAATGACGCGGGCGTTAATGGAGACATATACGCATACACGCGGATAGCTCAAAATGCGTGGAGATAACACGCCACCTGACTCGAAAGTGGCGTATATGTGTACGCAAAAGTCATGATGTCATGTTGGAAGTCGAGTAGTGCTGCTAAAATTCGCACTCAGCTTCTGTGAATGTACAGTAAAGCCCGCCTACTTTGATTTGATTGGTCACCTCAAATATTCTGACATTGACTAGCAGTGACAGACCAATGGGCTCAGATGTTCGGCGCCACTACGGATTTAAGATGTAGAACGTGTTGAATCTGATTGAAACAAGACTGAAGCGAACACGAATTTGTGTAGCATATTAATCACAAATTTTTAGGGGGGCTAGGCATAAATTTAGGGCCTAGTGACGCCCCTGCGACTCACAGAGCGTGACTGTTACATAGTATACAATAGTACATTGATTTTAATGAGATCTAATTTATGTTGTTAGTGGGGAGAATTTTCACGCGATTAAATACATAGATCCGCCAATTATCCCCATGAACTTCTAGTGGCAGAACATTTGCCAAGTGTGTCAGAGGTTCTGGGTTCTACTCCGTAGTAGTAGTATAATTTATTTTCCTCATCAAAACCGATTTCACCGCAACAAATATAGAGAGTCTCTCAGTCCCCGCAACGGATTGAAGCACGCGTCCGTGTGAAGACTGTGTGCGTCACAACAGAACACTGTATCGGCCCGCTGCACCAGGGTTGCAAGTGAGAATTTTCTGCTAACAGACAGACAAACTATTCAACCCGAAAGAAGTCATAACCATTTCAAGAACTGTTCAGTTAAGCTAAATAAGCTGCATAGTGTCTCTTTAAAGGTTTAGAAGTTATTGTTCAAAATCAATTTCCAGTTTTTACTTCCAGAACACAAATGTTAAACTCTATTGAAAATCCAAATTTAAATGGATATAAAGAGCATGCAAAATTTTCCTACATGTTTTCTTAAACATTTTCATACATGTGGATTTAAAATCCAACATTTCAATTTTAAAGATTCCAACATTTGAAATTGTATTTAATTTTTCTGTCAAAAATTATGTTGGTTTAAGGAAACTCCTCTGTTTTGTAACCATGATCAATTTCTATTAATTGCAGTTCATTATTATTATTCTAATGCATTGCAAACTCTTACATGTGATATGCTGAGCAGAGATGAACACAGGCCCTTTACCAGAGCACAGTTTAAAGGTGACAGGTGGGATGAGCTCCAAACCAGGAAAACTGATCTGCAACAAATGACCAAAAATTCACTCATGTACGTTTATCATTAGAAGTAAGTTGTCAATCAATCAGCGAAAATAATAAATTCACCATTGGCATGCTATGGCGGAGAGTGGCAATAGGCAATGGTTTGGAAGCTCCGACACCGTCACAGACGGACACAATATGCATCTCATCTCCTGCCTCCTCACTAAGACATATCTGTAAAAAAAAAAAATCAGGCCATTTCAGATTAATACAAAACCTATGGATTTGTGTGTAGGTTATCAGGCCCATTCATACATTTTATCAATGCTTTTTTTACAGTGGCGTAGGTTTGATTTTAAAAATGGTGGGGACGGGGACATCAATAAATATATTTTAAGTTTTGATAGAAATTTTTGCTAGGGATATAGTGTCACTGAATATTGGTAGGGACACGTCCCTACTAAATTTTATCCCCCTGCCTTTTTTAACATTTCATCCAAAAATTTAAGTCATTATTTACTCACCCTCATGTAACACAATGCAAATGACCCGTAAACACAAAAAAAAGGTAATGAGAGTGAATATGGACTGGTACAATCAAACCACAAAACGACAAAAGCATCAACAAATTTTATAAACTTCTATAAAGTAGTTCCAGCCCCTGACACATTACAATTTCTAATCACTTCTCCTTCTAAGCTTTTAGCCCACCACCGCATTAAAAAAAGTATGTAGGCTATAAACAAATAATTATTAATTTATTTGTTTTAAATAAATATAAATATATATAGATAAATAAAAAAGACAACTACACGGATCCCTTAGTTTGTGTTCATGAGCATTGTTGAAAAGATTTGACTTTGAAGAATGATTCAGATGAATCGGATTTGCTTAATGATTCAGTCACAACGATTAGCAGCTCCCTTGAGAGACCCTGGAAAGCTGAATATGCCACGGAAAAATAAAGTCATAAGAGTTTGTAACGACATGAGGGTGAGTAAATGATGACAGGTTTCATGTTTAACTTGGAGTTTGAGGCCCAAAACTGTGTTTGTGATCAGAACTGATAACGTTAGGCTACCGTTTTGATGAAGAACTGATTCTCCAGAAGATCATTTTCTGCTTGAAAGACAGCTGTGGTCTCGGAACCACTGAGTACACAACCTTTTAAAACAAACAAACAAACAAAAAGTAAAAGTAGATATAACACTGTAGGAAATCGAAATGGATCGTGAGGGAAGTGATCTTACCCCAGTGAACACAGGCTCTGTCAGACACAGACGAAGAGCTGGATAATTCAGACAAACTGATTGAAGTTAAAGAGTCATTTTCGACATAGCAGCTTGTCATTTCAGCCAGCACAAACGCTGTTCAGGTGAAATATCGTAAGAAAAGTGTCTGTCTGAACCCTTTCTTCCCCTAAAATAGCCGATTGAGCACAGCCTTTTATGTTTGTCTACAACGAGGCGTTTTAGTAGCCTAATTCTTTTCATGAGAACAAAACAAAACAAAATACAGTCAAGATCAGTATATCAAGTAATATCTGGCACAATGATTGAACAACTATGATGTTTTAATATGAACAGTGCTATGCACATCGACAAAAACACAGCACGCAGATCACTGATCATCAATTGGATCTGTGAGTGATGAACTTCAGGTGTTTTTGCCTGAGCGTGCGATACGCTATATCAGACACCAGAGGGCGCTCGATCCCTTCAAAAAGTGTGTTGCTTGAGGATGTGGAAAGTTTGTCCTATGCAGTAGTTATTAGTTATTTCTCAATTACAACATTTTATTAATTTAAAATTGGTTGAAACAACTGTCTTTTTTTTAAAGAAGTCTGAGAATTAAGGACATTAATTGATTAATTTCACACACACACACACACACACACACATATCACAAATCACACACATATATACAGCATATCACGTATGTTTATTCTTTTATTTTTTTTAGAAACCATATAAACTGCTTAGCACATTTTTACTTAACCCACATTAAAATCTCTCAGTTCTTTCTGTTATGTTTTCGCTATCTTTACACATTTAACCACTGGGGAAAATCTAAATATTTCAGATCACAGCACATACTTGGTAATTTATAAACATGTTTAAGTCCAGGGGTCAGAGGGTGTAATTCCCACAGAGAGATTATCATGCTATGATAATAATCTACATTTCTGTTTGATGATAACTACATTTCTTTTTCATCTTATGCTCTGACTAAGCAACAGTTTTTTCTTCCACTTTATTAAAATGTATTTATTTATGTATTGTCTAAGGCAGTTAAATACCCCTTGATTATCCACAGTCACTAACTAGATCTTGACTGGCTCAATGTGGATTTTTCTTTAATTAAAATAAAATCCTTATTAATTGAATAAAATAGATAAAGTAGCCTACGTCACTCAAATGATATTTTCAATACAATGAATTATTATTATGAATAATTGGATATTATATTATATTATTATTTGGTCCTTGAATTGTTGTGGCTCCCTGTGTACTTGTTGCTTCTGCATTTTTTTTTTATCAAATGAATGCAAATCATTAGTTTTTGATGTGTATCCATGTGTTGATGTATGAACTTTTTAGTTTGAACTAATTTGTAGTGCATTATCAGATTTACAGTGTTTGTTTTTTTTTGGAAAGAAGTATCTTATGCTGCTCACCAAGGCTGCCTTTATTTGATAAAAAAGCAATAACAACATAATAATTTGAATATTATTAAAAATTAAAATAAGTGTTTTTTTTTAAATATATTTTAAAATTGAATGTATCAAAGTGGAATTTTCATCATCATTCATTACAGTCTCAGTCTTCAGATGATCCTATAGAAATCATTCTAATATCATTCTGTGCTCAAGAAACATTTATTATTATTATCAATGTTGAAAATAGCTGAGCTGCTTAAAATTATTGTGGAAACCATGATCCATTTTTTTTTTTTTAAGAATTCTTTTATAAATAGAAAGTTCAAAAGAACAGCATTTATTTGAGATAGAACATTTTTAACAATTTTTAAACAAGTTTACAATAAGGTTTCAGTAGTTAATGACATTAGTGAACAATGAACAAAACATTTGGTGCTGTATTTATTAATCTTTGTTAATGTTAGTTAATAAAAATACAGTCGTTCATTTATTTTTTGTTCCTGTTAGTTCACAGTGCATTAACTAATGTTAACAATTCCAAATTTTATTTTAATAATATATTTGAACATGTTGAAATTAACATTAGATTAATAAAATAATGCAGAAGTATTGGTAATTATTAATTCATATTGTTAACTAAACAAACCTCATTGTAAAGTGTTACCAAAAATGTTTTTTACTGTGACTTTTGATCAACTTAGTGCATCTTTGCTGAATACAATTATTAAGTTATTTAATAAAATCTTACTGACCCCAAACAATTGAGCAGTATTGTATCTCTTTAACATGTGTGGAAGGACAGTGCTTTCTTGCATTTCTTTTCATCTGATCTGTGTGAGTAGTATCGTTTAGGAAGAACGACTTCTGACATGTAGTTAACCTCTTCGAATTTTTATTGTGTGATGTTTTTCAGATATGCCTCACTGATAATGTTGCAGGGTGAAATTCTTGTACACCGACTGTTGAGTCCGACTGTTGGCGGTGCTGCTTATCAGATGGCTAACCAATTTATCCTGCTCTATGACATTTTTACCTCGTCTTTTCGGAGGAATTCTTCACATTCTCATTTTAGTAAGTCTCAATAGTGTACCCACTCACTACACACTCGTCCATGTTATCTCTGTTGTCCCTGTTATCTTGGCATCGGCACCCTGCCCAGACCTGCAGTTTATTTGAGGAACACAGAAACTCATAAACAAGCACAGTATTACTTAGAATTATGAAGGAAATAGGAATTATGTTATACAGACATACTTTTGCGAGTTGTTTGGGTTAATACTATTTTAAGATCTTTTTAAACGTGGTAGAACATGAATAGAAGTTATTTATAAAAGTAATTCCCTTTCACCATCTAAAAATGGAATATTTAATCATTAATAATCATTAATTAAAAAATAATTGGTGGTCACACTAGTTTGACATTTTACATATGAAGAGTTCAGATGCAAAAGCCTCTAAATGCCATTTGAAATTTTCTTCTTTAATGATGATTTTTATCAAACTTGTATATTTAAGTTCAGTAATTTCACTTAAATAACAATTAATAGGTAATTATCTTTGCCATTTAAGTGAAATCACTGAACTTAAATATACAAGCTTGATAAAAATTATCATTCTAGAAGAAAATTTCAAATGGCTTTTGCATCTGAACTCTTCATATTTACATATTTTACAAATTAACATTTTCACTTTTAACAATGACTTTTGCCTCAAATTGACTTATAATTAAATGAAATTAGTCATTAAAAAACGTCTTTAAACTCAATTTTGAATGCTACTTTTAGCAGTTGATTATTCTGATTTAGTCAAAGCACATCTGTTACAGTTTGATTGTTTCCATTGATTCCCTTATTGAATCTTGAATCCCCTACATTCCAACGTTTATTTGTTTTAGAGATTCTGAGCAGCTCTGTCCATCTTCAACCATGATCTGATATACCTCTTTAGGAAAATTCATCTTCCCCCCTGACATGATGCTGTTTATTATGGCTTTGAGCGGCATGGGAGGTTTGGAGATCAGTATCTCCTAAGATGATTTTTTTTTTTTTCCCTCAGTACTTAGTGGAGGTCACTGACCGAGAGTAGGTACAGTGAAGTATCGTCAAATACCTGGTGCTAGTCTAAATGCCAGTTCTGACATTTTTTCCAAAAGATATTGTTTTGCCGTGTACTGTATCCACATGTTTTTGTTGTCAGCTCATCTTGTTCTGTAAATGGAGGTCCTCCTTCAATTGCTTCCAGTTGATCTGGAGCGATACGGGTGTTGTTACATCCTTCCTGGGTTGGTCCAATGTCACATTCATCATATGAACTACTCACGCATGCATACTCTATATATGTCTGGTGAGCTGTGTAGAACCTACGTATATGTTGCAACTCATTCATTTTGTGAAATTAGTCATATGGACTTATGACACCTACATTTACATTCATTAATTTAGCAGATGCTTTTACAAATGAGGAATACAATCAGGCCAAATCAACTAAAGCAGACTAAATATGAGAAATGAGAAGTTTCAGACCTCGATCAGAAGCTAGAACAGGAATAATGGGATAAGCATAGAAACAGATTATTGTTTGTTTTTCCAGCAGGGTGCAGTTTAGTGCTCATGGATGAGAGACATTTTCAGCTGTTTTTTGAATATTTTCAAAGGATTCAGCTGTTCGGATAGGGTTGGGTAGATCATTCCACTAGCAAGCAACAGTGAACAAAAACGTTCTTGAAAGTGATTTTGAGCCACTTTTTGACGATAACCCGAGGTGCAGCTCACTTACCGTCCAGAGTGGAGGAACAGTAAGAGGGTCCTGATCAGTTGCCGTTCTGTTGGCAAGCACCAATATCTTGAACTTGATGCAAGCCGCAACCAATGAGCAGTGCAGAGAGATCAGTAATGTTATTGCAATGTGGACCATTTGTAGATGTTTGATTGCGTATCCAGCCAGGCGAGAATTGCAACAGTCCAGTGGTGTGGATGCATTGTGCATAATAGTAACAAGTTACTAGTGCAATTTTAAAGAAGCACTATTTACAGTCAGAGGGAATTAACAAAATTAAAGGATTAGTTCACTTTTGAAAAAACTTTTGCTGATAATTTACTCACCCCCATGTCATCCAAGATGTCCATGTCTTTCCTCAGTCGAAAAGAAATTAAGGTTTTTGATGAAAACATTCCAGGATTTTTCTCCTTATAATGGACTTCCATGGGGTCCAACCGAGGTCCAAACGACAGTTATAACAGTTACAGATGCAGCTTCAAATGTCTTTAAACGACACCAGACGATGAATAAGGGTCTTATCATGCGAAACGATCGGTTATTTCAAAGCTTATTCCAAAAATGTAACTTTTCTAAGACAAATGCTAGCCTTTCTCCATTCTGTGAGGCGCGTTTGCAACGTCACGTAATACGTAATTACGTTCAAAAGGTCACGGGCGACGTAGCCAGAAGTACAGAGTCAGAGTGTTTACAAGTTGAACGCATAGGTTGAACGTGAAAACTAACTCAAACGCCGTTTACAAAAAAGGAATTAAAAGGTAAAACAACGATGTCGGACGATTTTGATTCTGTACTTCCGGCTACATCGCCCGTGACCTTTTGAACGTAATTACGTATTACGTGACGTTGCAAACGTGCCTCACAGTATATTACAAGGCTAGCATTTGTCCTTAGAAAAGTTACATTTTTGGAATAAGCTTTGAAATAACCGATCGTTTCGCATGATAAGACCCTTATTCATCGTCTGGTGTCGCTTAAAGACATTGGAAGCTGCATCTGAAACTGTTATTAACTGTCGTTTGGACCTCGGTTGGACCTGGTTCCCACTGAAGTCCATTATAAGGAGAAAAATCCTGGAATGTTTTCATCAAAAACCTACATTTCTTTTCGACTGAGGAAAGAAAGACATGGACATCTTGGATGACATGGGGGTGAGTAATTTATCAGCAAAAGTTTTTTCAAAAGT